AGGAAGAGGGGCCCAAGAGTTTGGAATCCCTGAGGATTTCTCCTAGAGAATGACAAGGCCAAAACTAAAGGAAAAGCAGTGGTCTACAAAATCTATAATTGAAATAGGGTAATTACAGGACCAGTCTTACAAAAAACTCAAGGGGGAAGGGTGCAGGGGGTGGAAGTATGTGGGGAGGGGGCTGTGACAATTCTCGGGTCGCACACCTTCAGTGACTAACATCAGTCACTACAAGGCCCAAGGCACCTTTCATACCCATTCCTAAAGCTGTAAGTTGCTCATAAACTTTTTTTTTTAACTTTTTCATTAATAGGCTTCTAGGAAAAGATCATCTTAACTTTTTCTTAGCCTGGAGTTGTAATAGGGTGGTCCCCAGGAAAGGGGGAGGTTCCAGAGAGACTCTGAGTTGAGCAGAGAGAAGAAGCTACAGAGAAGACTGAGGAAGGAAAGAAGCAGGATGGAGAGCTGAGCCAGAAGGAGACTTGGAGGAGGCACATGGAGCAGAGAGACATGTGAAGAAACTACTCTTGCCTTTTGGTCATGGACTGGTTGACACAGATGTGGGTGAGAGACCTGTGGGGAGGTGACAGTGACGGTTTTTGTCTTGATGTTGATTTTGCTCTTTTCCCTCCAGACTTGTCTGGTTGTTTCTGATCCTTTTCTGTGGGTCCCCACTGGAAGATGCTTTAGACTTGTGGCAGGCTTTGGGGCCTTGCTCTGGGCCAATCCCATTTGGGTGGACTTTTACCCATGAGAGGACGGGTAACTTTGGGTGCTTGATTTAGAAACTATATTCCGGGGCCTCCCCTAGTGGAGCAGTGGTTGAGCGCTGGGTTGCCAGGCTGCGCGCAGCCTCTGCAGCACCAGTTCGATCCCCGGCCGCCAGCGAGGGTCCCACGAAGCGCGCAGACCTCTCCTGCCACCCGTTGCTCCCCTCAGCAGTGTATTTCGTCAGTCTGCCTGTTCCGCTTCCCGCTCTGGCTCTGGTGAATTCTCTCACCCTCTCACGCTTCTGACTGTACCCAGTGCTTGTATAAATAAATAAATAAATCTTTAAAAAAAAAAAGAAACTATATTCCTTGTCTTTTCTGTATTGTTTCCTAATTGTATTAAAGTTCCTTCCCATTAAAGTCTCATATGTTTTGTGTTGATGCGGCAGATGGCAGAACCCATTTAGAACAGGCAGATTTGCGGGGTCCGGAGTGCCCCTCTCCCTGCCCTGTAACAGAGTCACAGGTCTCAGTCACAGATGATTGAGAGATTAGAATTTGCCCTTACACATTTCTAGGAACACCCCTGATTCCCTCCCAATCCTTGTGTGTACAAAACCATATGCTAATTTAGTAAGCAGATGAGTAGACAGTGAAAATAACTTCGCTGCCCACAGGGATAGAAGACGGAGAATGTTACTTTCTAGGGCAGTTGCTTTCCACTAAGACCCATTGGTCATCTAAATTGCAGGCTTCCCTAATAATGATTAGGAATTTGATCTCATTGATACTGACTGTCCAGCTGCAGAAGTAACTCACCTTCTCTGTCAACAGTCCTGACAAATTGCAGATCTTTATCTTTGGCTTCAAAGATACTTAGTGGAAAGCTAACACTCAAGAGCATCATAATAACAAGTACAAATACATTTTTTGTGCATTCTAAAGTTATAGCAATAAAACTTATTCCCATTAATATAATTATATTTTCCTAAAAATGTCATTATGTCAGAATCCCTGTATATATACATTATTTTCTTTTTTAAAAAAGGCTTTGGTTTCTTGTGTGAGACCTAAGTAACTGACAGAACAACCGGAGGCCTGAGAACCAGTCTCTTAAAGGAAAAATTATTACCGTCCCTATTTTAAAGAAGTGCTGACAACCCTCCTTCCTGGAGTGAACGCTGAGCAATTTTACAAAGCAAGGTTTGAACTTTGATTCCAGGAAGCCTATGAGGGATGGGCGGGGTCACTGTCAGGGGGGGCAACCCCTGGAAGCCACAGACTGGCGGCGACCGCGGCCTCTTCCAAAATTGCAGGCAGACAGGCCGGCGCGGAAAGCCCCGGCAACACAGCACCACTCAGTGGGGAAGAGTCCTCACCTGGCCCAGCAGGGCTGATGAGTCCCAGGCTCCGCCCCCGGTCGGAGCCTGATCCCGCCCAACAGACTGTGCTTACGCAAAGGTGCACTTCTAGGGGCCGCCGGTAGGGGGCGCTGGTGAGCGCGTTCGCGGACCCTCAGCCCACACGGGGTTTGGGGGACCTCTACCCCCATGGGAAACGGGACCCACTTCCCCCATGGGGGTACAGGGCTCTCTTCCCCCTTGGGGAAACGGTCAATCTTCCCACCAGGACACACCTGCACCCTCCTATAGCACTGACAACCCCAGGGGCAGGCCGTGCGCCTGAAGACATCCTTGATGGAGGGGCGGGGTCACTGTCAGGGAGGGCATCCCCTGTAAGCCACAGACGAGCGGCGACCGCGTCTTCTTCCACAATTGCAGAGAGACAGGCCGGCGGGGAAAGGCAAGGGCAACCCAGCCCCATTCAGAGGGGAAGAGTCTTCACCTGGCCCAGCAGCGCTGATGAGCCCCGGCTCCGCCCCCCGCTGGAGCCTGACCTTGCTCACTGGACTCTGCCTGCGCAAAGGTGCACTTCTCAGGGCCGCCTTGAGGGGGCGCTGGTCAGGGACTTCGCGGACCCTCATCCCCCACGGGGCTTGGGGGCCCTCTACACCAACCGGGTTACGGGGTCCTAAGACCCCTACAGGGACCAGGTTCTCAAGCCCGTTTTGGGAACGGGTCCCCTTCCCCCTGGTGGATACCTACACCCTCCTCTTGCAATCACACCCCTAGGGCCAGGCCGTGCCCCCAAAAACGCCCATGACGGAGCGGCGGGGTCACTGTCACGGGGGGCACCCCTGGAAGCCACAGACAAGCTGCGACCTCGGCCTCTTCCAAAATTGCAGGCAGACAGGCCGGCGCGGAAAGCCCCGGGCAACCCAGCCCCACTCAGAGGGGAAGAGTCCTCACCTGGCCCAGCAGTGCTGCTGAGCCTCTGGCTATGCCCCAGGCTGGAGCTTGACCCCGCCCCCGGACTCTGCCTGCGCAAAGGTGCGCTTCCCAGGGTTTCAGCTTGGGGGCGCAGGTGAGGGGTTTCGGTGACCGTCAGACCCCACTGGGTTAGGGGCCCCCCTACCCCAATTGGGAAACTGGATCCCCTTCAACCAGGGGGAAATGGGCCCCCTTCCCTCTTGGGGGATGGTAAAGCTTTCCCCGGAGAACACCTGCACCCTGCTCTTGCACTCACACCCCCAGGGGCACGCAATGCGACCGAAGGCGCTCTAGACGGAGGGGCGGGGTCACTGATGTTTACCCTATAAGGGAACCATTTTGGAAAGAATGTCCTTTCAAAATCCTGCCAAATATTGGTGAGAAAGGCTCACACTTCATTTCCTTTTGCACCTTCCTGAGGTTATACCAGGGCCACCTACTTTGTGTTTTTGACCACAAACAAATTAATTTGCTAATATTTCTCAATAGAGCCAACGTGTATTTAGGCCCTGTGTTAGTAGTGTTTTGGGGTTTGAAGGAATCCTTGAGGGTCTCATCCTTGAGGGTCTTGAGTCTAATGGGGGAGATTTATGTAGCTGCAGATAATATCTCAGATTGTCCCTCATCTACAACTAGATAACCAGTCTTATCCATTAAAAAAAAATCCATAATTAAAGAGGAAAGTAATTATTTTTTATTTTAGAAAATACAGCCAGATTAAAAAATCTATAAATAAAAATATAAAAATCATTCTTTCTTAATGTAGTGATAATCACTGTTCTCTCAGGTTTTTTGTTGTTGTTGTTGTTCCGTCTGCAGATCCATTTTGTTCAGAAAAGAAAATATAAGCAATTATCCTCAGTATGGTATCTCTTCCGTTTCAGTTTTAAGTGCCTTGTTGGTTGACATGTGTTTCCTACAACTTGTATAGTATCACCTACACTCTGTTTGGGGAAAAAAAAATCTATCACATTTGACCTTTCTTGCCTATTGATTTTTTTCTTGTAGGGTCACTTTTAGCCAGTAAGGTCTGTCATTGAAACCCTCCCCTCTGTTAGATGTTCCACCATGATATCGGGTAAATCGTGTCTCAATTTTGTGGTCTTCAGCTGTTGTGTAGAGGACTCTCTTTTCCTTCTTGAGGACCAGTGTACTCTCTCAGTTTCACACATACAGAACTTTAGTTCCTTTCAGCCAACCTCAGAAACCTTGTACTTCAATTAAGGTGAACTCACCTGACTATCAGAGTATAGAAGACATGTTTTCTCACAAAAGCTTGCCTGGTCCTAGGGGTGTGATTGCGAGAGGAGGGTGCAGCTATCCACCAGGGGGAAGGGGACCCGTTCCCAAAACGGGCTCGAGAAGCGAGTCCCTGTAGGGGACTTAGGACCCCGTAACCCCGTTGGTGTAGAGGGACCCACAGCCCCGTTGGGGATGAGGGTCCGCGAAGTCTCTGACCAGCGCCCCCTCAGGGCGGCCGTGAGAAGTGCACCGTTGTGCAGGCAGAAACCAGTAGGCGGGGTCAGACTCCGGCCAGGGGCGGAGCCTGGGGCTCATCAGCGCTGCTGAGCCAGGTGAAGACTCTTCCCCTCTGAGTGGGGCTGGGTTGCCAGGACCTTTCCCCGCCTGCCTAGCTGCCTGCAGTTTCGGAAGAGGCCGTGGTCGCCGCTCGTCTGTGGCTTACAGGGGATGCCCTCCCTGACCGTGACCCCGCCGCTTCGTCTGGGGCGTCTTGGGACGCACGGCCAGTGCCTGGGGGTGCGAGTGCGAGAGGAGGGTGCAGGTGTGCCCTGGAAGATTGACCGTTCCCCCAAGTGGGAAGAGTGCCCCGTTCCCCCACGGGGGAGGTGGGTCCCGTTTCCCCATGGGGGTAAAGAGCCCCCTAAACCCGTGGGGGCTGAGGGTCCCGAACCCTCTCACCAGCGCCCCCTATCGGCGGCCCTGAGAAGAGCACCTTTGCGCACGCGCCGTCCAGTGGGCGGGGTCAGGCTCTGAGCCAGGGGCGGAGCCTCGGGCTCTTCATTCGCTGCTGGGCCAGGGGAGGACTCTTCCCCTCTGAGTGGTGCTGGGTTGCCGGGGATTTCTGCGCCGGCCTGTCTGCCTGCAGTTTTGGAAGAGGCCACGGTCACCGCTCGTCTGTGGATTTCAGGGGGTGCACCCCCTGACAGTGACCCCGCCCCTCCGTCTAGGGTGTCTTCGGGCACACGGCTTGCCCCTAGGGGTGTGAGTGCGAGAGGAGGTTGCAGGTGTGCCCCGGGGGAAAGACTCAGCGTTCCCCCAAGGGGGAAGAGTGCCCCGTTCCCCCATGTGGGAAGGGTGCCCCGTTTCCCCATGGGGTAGAGGTCCCCCAACCCCCATGGGGACTGAGGATCCAGACTCCTTCACCAGCGCCCCCTAGCGACGGCCCTGAGCAGTGCACGTTTGCGAATGCAGAGTCCAGTGGGCGGGGTCAGGCTAGGGCCAGGGCGGAGCCTGGGGCTCATCAGCGCTGCTGGGCCAGGTGAGGACTCTTACCCTTTCAGTGGGGTTGGGTTGCCCTGGGCTTTCTGCGCCGCCCTGTCTGCCTGCAGTTTTGGAGGAGGCCGCGGTAGCCGCTTGTCTATGGCGTACAGGGGGTGCCGTCTCGGACAGTGACCCCGCCCCTCCGTTTAGGGCGCCTTCGGTCGCTCGGCGTGCCCCTGGGGCTGTGAATGCGAGAGGATGGTGCAGGTGTTCCACGGGGGAAAGATTTACCAATCCCCCAAGGGGGAAGGGGGCCCAGTTTGCCCATGGTTGAAGCGGATCCCGTTTCCCAATCGGGGTAGGTGGCCCCCTAACCCCGAGGGGGCCTAGGGTCCCCAAAACCCCTCACCTGCACCCTCAAGCGTAGACCCTGAGAAGAGCCCCTTTGTGCAGGCAGAGTCTGGGGGGCGGGGTCAAGCTCCAGCCGGGGGCGGAGTCTGGGGCTCATCAGCACTGCTGGGCCAGGTGAGGACTCTTCCCCTCTGTGTGGGTTTTGCTTGCCGGGGCCTTTCCCCGCTGTCCTGTGTCTCTGCAGTTTTGGAGGAAGCCGCGGTCGCCATTCGTCTGTGGCTTACAGGGGGTGCCCTCCCTGACAGGGACCCTGCCCCTCCGTCAAGGACGTCTTCAGGCGCACGGCCTGCCCCTGGGATTGTCTGTGCGAGAGGAGGGTGCAGGTGTGACCCGGGGGGAAGATTGACCATTCTCCTAATGGGGAAGAGTGCCCCGTACCCCCATGGGGTAAGTGGGTCCCGTTTCCCCATGGGGGTAGAGGTTCCCCAAACCCCATGGGGACTGAGGTTTCCGAACTCCCTCACCAGCGACCCCTAGCGGCGGCCCTGAGCAGTGCACCTCTGCGCATGCATAATCCAGTGGGCGGGGTCAGCCTCCGGCCGGGGGCGGAGCCTGGGACTCATTAGCGCTGCTGGGCCAGGTGAGGACTCTTCCCCTCTGAGTGGTGCTGGGTTGCCCGGGGTTTTCCACGCCGGCCTGTCTGCCTCTAGTTTTGGAAGAGGCCGCGGTCGCCGCTCGTCTGTGGCTTCCAGGGGTGCCCACCCTGACAGTGACCCCGCCCCTCCCTCATGGGCGTCTTTTGGGGCACGGCCTGGCCCTGGGGGTGTGAGTGCGAGAGGAGGGTGCAGGTATCCACCAGGGGGAAGGGGACCTGTTCCCAAAACGGTCTTGAGAACCGGGTCCCTGTAAGGGACTTAGTACCCCGTAACCCTGTTGGTGTAGAGGGACCCGCAACCCGTGGGGGAGGAGGGTCTGGGAAGTCCCTGACCAGTGCCCCCTCTCGGCGGCCCTGAGAAGTGCACCGTTGCGCAGGCAAAATCTGGTGGGCGGGGCCAGACTGCGGCCGGGGGCGGAGCCCGGGGCTCATCAGCGCTGCTGGGCCAGGTGAAGACTATTCCCTTCTGAGTGGGGCTGGGCTGCCGGTGCCTTTCCCCGCCGGCCTGTCTGCCTCTAGTTTAGGAAGAGGCCGCGGTCGCCGCTCGTCTGTGGTTTCCAGGGGGTGCCCCCCCCCGACAGTGACCCCGCCCCTCCCTCATGGGCGTCACAGGGAGCACGGCCTGGCCCTGGGGGTGTGAGTGCGAGAAGAGGGTGGAGGTGTGCCCCCGGGGGAAGATTGACCGTTCCCCCAAGGGGGAAGGGTGCCCCGGTCCTAAGGGGGAAGTGGGTCCCATTTCCCCATGGGGGTAGAGATCCCCCTAAACCCGTGGGGACTGAGGGTCCGCGAACCCTCTCACCAGCGCCCGCTACCGGCGGCCCTGACAAGTGCACCTTCGCGCACGAGCCGTCCAGTGGGCGTGGTCAGGCTCTGGGCCAGGGGCGGAGCCTCGGGCTCTTCATTCCCTGCTGGGCCAGGGAAGGACTCTTCCCCTCTGAGTGGTGACAGTTGCCCGGGGCTTTCCCCGCCGGCCTGTCTGCCTGCAGTTTTGGAAGAGGCTACGGTCACCGCTCGTCTGTGGCTTCCAGGGGGTGCCCCCCTGACAGTGACCGTGGCGTCTTCAGGCGCACGGCATGCCCCTAGGGGTGTGAGTGCGAGAGGAGGTTGCAGGTGTGCCCCGGGGGAAAGACTCAGCGTTCCCCCAAGGGGGAAGAGTGCCCCGTTCCCCCATGGGGAAAGGGTGCCCCGTTTCCCCATGGGGGTACAGGTCCCCCAAACCCCATGAAGGCTGAGGTTCCCGAAATCCCTCACCAGCGCCCCCTAGCGGCAGCCCTGAGAAGTGCCCCTTCGCGCATGCAGAGTCCAGTGGGCGGGGTCAGGCTAGGGCCAGGGCGGAGCCTGGGGCTCATCAGCGCTGCTGGGCCAGGTGAGGACTCTTACCCTTTCAGTGGGGCTGGGTTGCCCTGGGCTTTCTGCGCCGCCCTGTCTTCCTGCAGTTTTGGAAGAGGCCGCGGTCGCCGCTTGTCTGTGGCGTACAGGGGGTGCCGTCTCGGACAGTGACCCCACCCCTCCGTCTAGGGCGCCTTAGGTCGCTCGGCATGCCCCTGGGGCTGTGAGTGCGAAGGAGGGTGCAGGTGTTCCCCGGGGGAAAGAATTGGGCTTCCACCAAGGGGAAGATAGCCCCATTCCCCTATGGGGGAGGACAATCCCGTACCCCCATGGGTGCAGGGGTGGCCCCAGACCTGTGGGGGCTGAGGATTCCCGAACCCGCCCTCACCATCGCCCCCTAGCGGCGGCCCTAGGAAGTGCACATGTGCGCAGCCAGAGTCGGGTGGGCGGGGTCAGGCTCCGGCCAGGGGCGGAGCCTGGGGCTCATCAGCGCTGCGGGCCAGGTGAGGATTCTTCCCCTTTGAGTGGTGCTGGCTTGCCAGGGGCTTTCCGCGCTGGCCTGTTTGCCTGCAGTTTTGGAAGAGGCTTTGGTTGCCCCTTGTCCCTGGCTTACAGGGGGTGCCCTACCCTGACAGGGACCCCAGCCCTCCGTCTAGGGCGTCTGCGGGCGCATGCCCCGCCGCTGGGGCTGTGAGTGCTAGAGGAGGGTGCTGGCGTTTCCCGGGAGGAAGATTTGGGCTTCCCCGAAGGGGAAGTGAGCCCCGTTCCCCCATGGGGGAGAAAAGTTCCATTCCCCCATGGTTGCAGAGGTCCCCCTAGCCCCGAGGGGGCTGAGGGTCCCCGAACCCCCTCAACAGCGTCCCCTAGCGGCGGCCCTAGGAAGTGCACCAGTGCGCAGGCAAAGTCAGGTGGGTGGAGTCAGGCTCCGGCCAGGGGCAGAGCCTGGGGCTCATCAGCGCTGCTGGTCCAGGTGCGGACTCTTCCCCTTTGAGTGGTGCTGGCTTGCCCGGGGCTTTCCGCGCCGGCCTGTGTGCCTGCAGTTGTGGAAGAGGCCGCGGTCGCCGCTTGTCCCTGGCTTACAGGGGGTGCCCTCCACTGACAGGGACCCCGGCCCTCCGTCTAGGAAGTCTGAGGGCGCACGGCCCCGCCGCTGGGGCTGTGAGTGCCAAAGGAGGGTGCTGGCGTGACTTGGGAGGAAGATTTGGCTTACCCGAGGGGAAGAGGGGCCCGTTCCCACATGGGGGAGGAAAGTTCCATTCCCCCATGGGTGCAGAGGTCCCCCTAGACCCGAGGAGGCTGAGGGTCCCCTAACCCCCTAACCAGCGCCCCCTAGATGCAGCCCTAGGTAGTGCACCTGTGCGCAGGAAGAGTCGGGTGGGCGGGGTCAGGCTCCGTCCAGGGGTGGAGCCTGGGGCTCATCAGCGCTCCTGGGCCATCTGCGGACTCTTCCCCTTTGAGTGGTGCTGGCTTGCCCGGGGCTTTCCGCGCCGGCCTTTGTGCCTGCAGTTTTGGAAGAGGCTGTGGTCGCCGCTTGTCCCTGCCTTACAGGGGGTGCCGTCCCCTGACAGGCACCCCGGCCCTCCATCTAGGGCGTCTGCAGGCACACTGCCCCGCCACTGGGGCTGTGAGTGCCAGAGGATGGTGCAGGCATGCGCCTTGAGGAAGATTTGGGCTTCCCCCGAAGGGAAGATAGCCCCGTTCCCCCATGAGGGAGGACAATCCCGTACCCCCATGGGTGCAGGGGTGGCCCCAGCCCGGTGGGGGCTGAGGATTCCCGAACGCCCTCACCAGCGCCCCCTAGCGGCGGCCCTAGGAAGTGCACCTGTCCGCAGCCAGAGTTGGGTGGGCGGGGTCAGGCTCCAGCCAGGGGCGGAGCCTGGGCTCATCAGCGCTGCGGGCCAGGTGAGGATTCATCCCCTTTGAGTGGTGCTGGCTTGCCCGGGGCTTTCCTCGCCAGCCTGTGTGCCTGCAGTTTTGGAAGAGGCTGAGTTCGCCGCTTGTCCCTGGCTTACAGGGGATGCCCTCCCCTGACAGGGACCCCAACCTCCGTCTAGGGCGTCTGCGGGCGCATGCCCCGCCGCTGGGGCTGTGAGTGCGAGAGGAGGGTGCAGGCGTGTCCCGGGAGAAAGATTTGGGCGTCCCCCGAGGGGAATTGAGCCCCGTTACCCCATGGGGGAGAAAAGTTCCGTTCCCCCATGGTTGCAGATGTCCCCCTAGCCCCGAGAGGGCTGAGGGTCCCTGAAACCCCTCAACAGCGCCCCCTAGCGGCGGCCCTAGGAAGTGCACCTGTGCACAGGCAGAGTCAGGTGGGCGGGGTCAGGCTCCGGCCAGGGGCGGAGACTGGGGCTCATCAGAGCTGCTGGGCCAGGTAAGGACTCTTCCCCTTTGAGTGGTTCTGGCTTGCCTGGGTGTTTCCGCGCCGGCCTGTGTGCCTGCAGTTTTGGAAGAGGCCGCGGTCGCCGCTTGTCCCTGGCTTACAGGGAGTGCCCTCCCCTGACAGGGACCCCGGCCCTCCCTATAGGGCGTCTGCGTTCGCGTGAACCCGTAACTGGGTTGTGAGTGCGAGAGGAGGGTGCTGGCTTGCACCGCAGGAAGATTTGGGCTTCCGCGAAATGGAAGAGGGCCCCGTTGCCACATGGGGGAGGATAATCCCGTACCACAATGGGTGCAGGGGTGGACCCAGCTCGGTGGGGGCAGAGGGTCCCCGAACCCCCTCACCATCGCCCCCTAGCAGAGGCCCTAGTGGGGGCTGAGGGTCCCCGAACCCACTCGCCCGCGCCACCTAGCGGCGGCCCTTTGAACTGCACCTGTGCTCAGGCAGAGTCCGGTGGGTGGGGACAGGCTCCGGACCGGGGCGGAACCTGAGGCTCAACAGCGCTGCCTGGCCAGGTGAGGACTCTTCCCCTTTAGTACTGCCGGGTTGCCCGGGCCTTTCCCCGCCGACCTGTCTGCCTGCAGCTTTGGAGGAGGCCGCGGTCTCGGCCAGTCCGAGGCATACAGTGGGTACCCTCCCTTAAGGTGACCCCGCCCCTCCGTCCATGGCGTCCTCGGCACACTGTCAGCCCCTCGCGGTGTGAGTGCGGAGGAGGTTGCAGGTGTCCCCCGAGGGGAAGAGAGCCCCATGGCCGAACCGGGCTTGCGGTCGCTGCACCTTGCAGGGGGCCATGGAATCTGTACCCACGTGGTTGCTGAGATCTCCCTACCCTCTAGGTGCTGAGGGTCCCCGACCCCACTCCACTCGCCAGCGCCCCCTAGCGGCGGCTCTGTAAAGTGCACCATTGCACAGGCAGAGTCCGGCGGGCGGGGTCAGGCTCCGGTCCGGGGCGGGGCCTGAGGCTCATCAGCGCTACCTGGTCAGGTGAGGACTCTTCCCCTTTGAGTGCTGCTGGGTTGCCAGGGGCTTTCCGCACCCACCTGTCTGCCTGCAGTTTTGGAGGGGGCCGCGGACACAGACAGTCCGAAGCTTGCAGGGGTTGCCCTCCCTGACGGTGACCCCGCCCCTCCATCTAGGGCGTCTTCGGGCCCAGGGCCTGCCCCTGCGGGTGTGAGTGCCAGAGGAGGCTGCAGGTGTGCCCCGGGGGAAGGTTTACTGTTCCCCAAGGGGGAAGTTGGCCTCCTTCCCCCATGGGGGAAGAGCGACACCTTTACCCATGGGGTAGGGGTCACCCTGCCCCCTTGGGGCTGAGGGTCCCCAACACCCTCACCGGCCCCCCCCGGCGGCTCTGTGAAGTGCACCTTTGCACAGGCAGAGTCCGGTGGGCG